TGTAAAAACGTTGACCAAAACACATTTAGATCACTTGGCCCAAAGGGCCAACCAAGATGGCCGACATGGCTAAAAATAGAATGTAGGGTAAAATGCAAGTTTTGTCTATTATTTTGAAAACCGTTATAAATAGAGAAAATTTGACTTGGCAAAACTGTTCAGAATGTTGAGCTCTACCAATTGTTCGTTGACGTCAAAACTGTCAGGCGACTTCTTAAATGATTTATTGATCAGCAAGACAAGATCTACAAATAAGTATGCATTGTCGAAAACGTCAGTCGACTTCTAATTAGAGTAATTTCCCTTTGATAAATATTTTTACCAATTTTTTGCGTTTTTGCCTTATATCTTAAAAATTATGATAGATAGATAGAAACTTAAATAATCAAAAAAGTTCAGCAAGACAAGATCTACATTTCAGACTGGAAGGAAATTTTCCGACGACTCCTTATTGGAGTTATTGCCCTTTAATGACAATTTTTACCATTTTTTTTTGCGTTTTTGCCTTATATGATAAAAATTATAATAGACAAATAGAAACTTTTAATAACAAAAATGATCAGCAAGACAAGATCAACAAACAAGTCAAATGCTGCCGATATATTTAGTAGACTGTAACTCTTCATAGGAATGATTGCCCTTAAATGAGGATTTTTTTTACCCTCTCTTCTGTTTTGAGCAATAACTTAAGAAGATAGAGAGAAACTAAACAGACAAAATGATCAGAAATACAAGATCAACAAAAAAGAAATCTTTGTCATGAATTCTATTCTTGTCTCCAATGTTTGAGAGTCCATTGTTGATTATGCACATAGACCTAGGTGAGCGACACAGGCTCTTGAGAGCCTCTAGTTTATGTAGGAAGCGCTTCATACTTGAGGGATACGATTCAGTTTTTGATCCCATGATGAATTTTTGACAAAAAATCGCATACAACCTATTTTGCACCTAGTTGATTCAAATATGTAATAAAAAATACACCTTCATCTGCTACTTTTAGAGATAAATGGGGTCGAAATTTTAGACATTTACTTAAAATTTCGGTTTCTTGAATATTTCTAACCTTTGGACAGCCATACATAACTTTTTTGTTTCAAAAGATAAACTCAAGCGGATTTTTGTTAAAACATCTGGAGTATTTTCTTTACATACATATGGTTTAAATTTATGTAAATATTTTTGAGGAATAATTTATTCTTATTCAATTTTCATGAATTAACGTGGGGAAAACGGCATTTTTGCTGTATATCCATCTTGTTCATGAAAATTGGTACAAATAATCTTCATACATAATCAATTAAGCCAAATGTCTTTTTTTTAAAGAGGGGCCAGTGTACTCGTTTTCAAGCTAATGGTTAAAATCAGTTGGGCGTTTTATAGCTTACTGTGGGATCTGGATTTTGCTCATTCTCAATTTTATGCATTGTTAATTGTTTTGTTTGGACTTTTTGTAATTCGGATATATGTTTTAGTATGTTATAAATAGAAAATAAAATATTTGGATGAAATCGGTGAACATGAGTTTGACAGCGTATGACCCTTTAAAAATTGAGAACGACAAACGCTTTTATAACCCTATAAAATTACCAAAAAGAAGCATTCAATTCTTAGCATTTAATTTGCATCCTACAGTCAGGAAATATTCATAAGCATATTGTTCTAAAATTATACAGCAATTTCTTTTAATGGTCATGTTCAAGATAAACAAGATGCTCATAGGAGCTTGAATCGCTCGCCTGTCAAAATATTCCACCGTTTAATATTAGTTTTAAATCTTTTATTGCAATCAGGTATGGTGTTATCAAGTTGATAATTGTTGCTGTTTTCTCACTGTCAAAAATACAAAATAGGCAAAATTGGAAAAATCGTCCTACAAATTAACTAGAGGCTCTAAAGAGCCTGTGTCGCTCACCTTGGTCTATGTGCATATCAAACAAAAGACACTCTCCAACAGTGTAGACGAGAAAAGACTTCATGACAAAAATCTCTATTTTGTTGATCTTATATTACTGATATTTTAGTCTGTTTAGTTACTCTCTATCTTCTTTAGTTTTGCTAAAAAAAAAAAATCTCTCTAAATATCATAGTTTTCATGATAATAGGCAAAAATGAAAAAAAATGGTAAAATTTGTCATTTATGGGCAATAACTCCTATAAGAATTTGTCTTATAGTTTTGACGTAAATAGACAACTGGTAGAGCTCATTATTCTGAACATTTTGCTCCTTTCAGATTTTCTCTATTTATAACGGTTCAAAAAATAATAGACAAAACTTGCATTTTACCCCCTATGTTCTATTTTTAGCCATGTCGGCCATGTTGGTTGGTAGGCGGGGTCATCGGACACATTTTTAAAACTAGATACCCTTATGATGATTGTGGCCAAGTTTGGTTAAATTTGTCTCAGTAGTTTTAGTGGAGAAGATTTTTGTAAAAGATTACAAAAATTTGTTAAAAATTGACTATAAAGGGCAATAACTCCTTAAGGGGTCAATTGGCCATTTTAGTCATGTTGACTTATTTGTAGATCTTACTTTGCTGAACATTAATGCTGTTAACAGTCTATCTCTATATATAATAATATTCAAGATAATAACCAAAAACTGCAAAATTTCTTTAAAATTACCAATTCAGGGGTAGCAACCCAACTACGGGTTGTCTGATTTGTCTGCAAATTTCAGGGCAGATAAATCTTGACCTGATTAACAATTTTATTTATGTCAGCTTTGCTCTAAATGCTTTAGTTTAAGAGATATAACATAAAATTTACATTTTACCCCATGTTCTATTTTTAGCCATGACGGCCATCTTGGTTGGCGGGCCTGGTCATCGGACACATTTTTAAAACTAGATACCCCATGATGATTGTGGCTAAGTTTGGTTATATTTGGTCCAGTAGTTTCAGAGGAGAAGATTTTTGTAAAAGTTAACGTCGACAGATGAGTGATGAGAAAAGCTCTTGGCCTTTTAGGCCAGGTGAGGTAAAAAGTCTATTGAAAATGTTGGTTATGTTGATCTATTTTGTTAATATTTTTTTCTGCTTACAATTTATCCCCTTATTTTGGTTTTCCTGGTAAATACTAAAAATATTAAAGTTTAGGTAAAATTTTACTTCAAGGCCAATAGTCCCTATAAGGTGTCATATACATATAACCAAACAGGGATAAAACCACCACTAAAGGGCAAAGACAACTATTAGGAGTTGATTTGTAAATTTAGAAATGTTTACTATTTTGGTAGATCTTATCTTGCTGATAATTTCTTTTTTTCTTTCTTTTTTTTTGTGAGTAATATCTTTTATTTTAAATCACCTGGAATACATAAACCCTAAGCAGTCCAGGTCAGCTGACAGAGGGGTCCCTGCTTTCATTTAACATATCCCATTTTGTTTTGTTGAATTTAATGTCGTTCCGACCATTCCAAATACTAAATTTTCCCCAAACACTACTTTCAAATTTCCAATATTTATTTGCGTTTTAACAAGATCTTAATTATATCCAATAATCATTGAAGACGAATTTCATTTTTTATTGGAATGTAATAAATATGCTGATATTAGGGGAAAATATATCAAACAATATTATTGGAGACACCCCTCTACTTATAAATTGATACAATTGTTATCTGTACAAAATATTAAAGAACTAAACAATCTTGGTAAATACTTAAAATTAGCTGAGAAACTACGCTGCTAACTTTTAACAATTTTATGAATTTCATACTCTGCGTTATACTTAACATTGTATTGTATAAGAGTGATTTAATGTATTTAAATGTAGTTAACATTTTATTATTATATGTCTGTTTATGTGATATGGTGCATGTATAATTGATTTGTCAAAAATTGTATATATATCCTATAAGCTGTACTTGCTTTTGGAATAAAGTATTATAATTATATCCAATAATCAAGTTTTGGACATCAAAGTTAAGAGTTATATCTATGGACAGAGATAGCAATCTTTTTATTTCTTCAATGATTCTTTGAATTTTACAACAATAATAGAATAGATGCTCTTGTGTTTCAAATAATTTGCCACATTAGTAACATAGGCCATCGGACTTTCGCATTTGGTACAGTTTAAGTTCAGTGTAATCAGAAGTCCATTACTAGACCCTTGGTAATGGACTTCTGGTGTAATGAATATTATGTAGTGATTTCAATTGAAATTGGAAAATATTGTTTGATACAGACAGCTTGTGTAGCTTTTTCACAACTGATTGCCAGTCTAGTTCCGTGTTAAATGTTCTGTTCCATTTAATGTCACATTTTACACTAGTACATTTATTTACTATTTTTTTGTAATGATTTTAATTGAAATTTTTTCTGGGGTTATAAAATTTCTTTTCGTATCATATACTTTGTTATTATTTTGAATTTTTATGTCCTACAAATTTGTTGGATTACTAATGGCGCTTCTAAGTTCGTTAATCCAATCAGTAGGGATTGATTTCTTTATTAGATTGTATTCGCATATCCAATTACGTTATCTATTACTTTATCAAATATTATTTTGTTACTATAAAAGGTTTCCGTTTCGATATTCCAAACATCTTTAATTTTGGCGATATGACTCTTGGTAAAGGAAGGGAAGAACAAAGGTTTCCCTTTCCATTTTATATTGTTGTGACCAAATATATTCTCTTCAAGAATACTATGTTTTGAACGTTCGGTCATTTTACTGTAAAGTTCACACCATGCGGTAACCGCCTTTTGGTAGAAATTTGACATATACTGCATTTTGATTCCATTTAGATCTTTACAAGTACATATAAAATATTCAATACCAAATTTTTTGTCAAAATATTTTAGCCAGTATTTGGCAATTGCAACTTTGTGTTGGACTTTCTAAGTTTATCAAATATTATTGGCATATCAGTTTCCGTAATATAATACCAGAATCTTGTGCCAAAATATCATTAATGTTTATTGATTTTTAAGCTTGACATGAAAAGGTTTCACGTCTCCAATTTCTTCCTGCAGAATAAAATGCTCTATAAAAGGACCAGTTCAAGTAAATTGTGGAAACAGTGCTAACGAAGAAACTAAAGGTCTGTTACATAATTGAATTACATGTATTACCTTTTCATATTTCTGTCTTTTAATTCTAACATTGTTTTACTTTATCATGATCACATTATTTCCTATCAATACTCTTATGTAAATTTAGAATGTTTTTCTGTGCCCTGCTGGTGATATTCTGCTGTGTTTCTGTGATTAAGTCCGAGACATGTTATGGAAAACACGAGAAGTCAATCATATCTGGCATACGATCATCACTGAAGACATTGGAAAACAGACTTAATGGTAAGAACAATACTAATGACACAAAAAATATCTAGAATGGGGAAGAAAGGTAGACTGATTTTTTTCTAAGTCACAGACAGATCATATACAAAGAAGATGATATTTTAACGAAAAACAGAACAGAAGCAGTTAGTAAGTGTTCGACAAACGTGAGGATTTGAATTTTCACAAACTGAATTTTAATTTTTATGATGAATAATATACGCACATTTCATGAGTTTCAAACTCATCCCGTTATTCCAGATACAGTAATTTCCTTTACATATCGATACGTGGATATTGCTGTTTGAGTTATGATTTCAGAAATTTCTTTGCAATAACGATTGAATTGAGCATTGAAAACTAAGAAAATAGCGAAATATCAATTAAGGGCCATAAAGTCGTGAAGTACATACAACATTGTGACAATATGGGAAAAACCGGAAAGACATGGGAAATCTAACAAATCACGCAGCCGGATAAAGCAACAGCAAAGCCGATAAAAACCGAAAATGAACTCAGTTGCTTAAGTGTAATATTTCCCTGTTGTTTAGCGTTCTCTCGACTTAATACGAGTATAACTGATTTCTGGTTTTGACGACCTGGCTTTGCAACGGGTCCAGTCTAATAAACAATTAAGGAAACCGATCCTCCCTAAATACCTTCCGATGCAACCGATTTTACTACTAATTTTGTTTGAAGAATATACCGAAGTAAGTAGTTATGGCATGATAGCCACCAGATACCAAAGGACAAGGATACACACAAGTGACAGTACGGTCTTCAACAATGAGCAAACTTGACCCATACCGTATAAATAGCTATAAAACGACCCGTCCGTGATGACAAAATTTTAAAAATAAAAAATAAAAGAGAAAAATTATTTTGCTTACACGTGCATGTTTTTTTTTTGTTACTGAATATCGGTCCCTTGCGGAGTTTGAACCAATCATTGAACTTTTACTATCATCGCTGTTTTTCTTTGTCTCAATTTTGTATGATCGTTTGTACTTATGCCATTTTTATTTCCCCTTGCATAACGGTAGTCTCGGCTTTTTTTTTTAATTTTCCAATAACATATCTGACAGCTTTTGTTGAAAATATGAAACATTAAAAAACATCATAAAAAAAACTTAAAGGTGCATCAACGCTACTGTATCCTCTGTTCAATAAATTGAATTTATCTATTCACTTATTAGAAAAATCTCCCAGATGTCGAGCAGGTTGGAAGGAATACAAGAATCACTGCTATTACTTCTCATCAGACAAAATGACGTGGTTTGAGGCTGAAGTAAGTCAAAACAACTTGTAAGATCTTATAATACATTGAATATGAAAATACCATTGAGTTTTACTTTGTAATTGTAAATCCTCGCATGAAGTTGTGCTGTTCGTCCTTTAGTTCCATGGTTTATGTTTTTATTGTATGTAATTGTTTGTCAGACATTTTATCAAGCTTGATTTCATTTGGAACATTCTTTCACCAAGTCAGGAATATGACAGTTGTTTTCCATTCGTTCCGTTGGTTGATAAAGTCTAATGTTTGATTTTGTCAGTTTTTGTGGACTTCCCCTTTTTAGCTCACCTGGCCTGAAAGGCCTAGCTTTTCTCATCTCTTCGCGTCCGTCGTCCGTTAACTTTTACAAAAATCTTCTCCTCTGAAACTACTGGGCCAAATTTAACCAAACTTGGGTACAATCATTAATGGGGTATCTTGTTTAAAAAATGTGTCCGACGATCCCGCCAGCCGACCAACATGGCCGCCATGGCTAAAAATAGAACAAAGGGGTAAAATGCAGTTTTTGGCTTATATCTCTGAAACTAAAGCTTTAAGAGTAAATCTTACAAAGGAGTAAAAATGTTCATCAGGTTAAGATCTATCTGCCCTAAAAATGTTCAGACGAATCAGACAACCAGTTGTTGGGTTGCTGCCCCTGAATTAGTAATTTTAAGGAAATTTTGCAGTTTTTGGTTATTATCTTGAATATTATTATAGATAGAGATAAACTGTATACAGCAATAATGTTCAGCAAAGTAAGATCTATAAATAAGTTAAATGACCAAAATTGTCAATTGACCCCTTAAAGAGTTCTTGCCCTTTATAGTCAATCTTTAACAATTTTTCGTAAATTTTTGTAATCTTTTACAAAAATCTTCTCCTCTGAAACTACATAGACAAATTCAACCAAACTTTGCCACAATCATAATAAGGGTATCTAGTTTAAAAAAAAAATGTGTCCGATGACCCTGCCTGCTAACCAACATGGCCGACATGGCTAAAAATAGAACATAGGGGTAAAATGCAGTTTTTGGCTTATATCTCTAAAACTAAATAATTAAGAGCAAATACGACGGGGTAAAAATGTTCATCAGGTTTAGATCTATCTGCTCTGAAATTTTCAGACGAATCAGACAACCGGTTGTTGGGTTGCTGCCCCTGAATTAGTAATTTTAAGGAATTTTTGCAGTTTTTGGTTATTATCTTGAATATTATTATAGATAGAGATAAACTGTAAACAGCAATACTGTTCAGCAAAGTAAGATCTACAAATAAGTCAAAATTAATGACCAAAATTGTCAATTGACCCCTTAAAGAGTTATTGCCCTTTATAGTAAATTTTTAACAATTTTTCGTAAATTTTTGTTAACTTCTACAAAAATCTTCTCCTCTGAAACTACATAGACAAATTCAACCAAACTTTGCCACAATCATAATAAGGGTATCTAGTTAAAAAAATGTGTCCGGTGACCCCGTCTGCCAATCAACATGGCCGCCATAGCTAAATATAGAACATAGGGGTAAAATGCAAGTTGTGTCTATTATCTTGAAAACTGCTATGAGTAGAGAAAATCTAACAGGGGCAAACATGTTCAGAATGTTGAGATCTACCTACTGACTCTTTAAGTCAAAACAGTCAGATGACTTCTTATAGGAGTTATTGCCCTTACATGACAAATTTTATTATTTTTTTTATTTTTGCATATCATTTTGAAAACAATTAGATATTTAGAAACTTAAATAAGCAAAAATGATCAGTTCAACAAGATCTCCAAATAAGTCAAACATGGCCGAAATCACGCTTGTTAGAACTACTATATAGGTTGTCTCTATTTAGCTAAAAACGAGATCTCTGTGGCTCTCTTCTTGTTCGATTAAAGTAAAACCTATGCATTTTGAAAATCTTATTTAAAGGTCCGGTCACCCCTCTTAAAAGATGCTAATCTTTGGCTCTTGGGTCCAGGGGAAAAAATCTACAAAAAGATTGACACAATTTTGTTGTCAGTCTCCATAATGATCAGTAACTTTGCTGTGACAACCAATTGAAAAACTTATAATAAACATGGCAAAATCAATTAAAGTTTCTTTGATGATCCTTTACCAGTAATGATATACAAAAAAATATATTAAAATGTATGTTCATGAAACAGCAGCACGGCATACTTGAGATGTGTGTTTTAACCTTGAAAACTTAAAATGATAAATGGGTTGAAAGCAGTTAAAATCAAACGAAAGATTAGATTTTGATCCACACAGATTCCTTTAAAAATTTTTATTATTGTTGCATTGTTTCATGCATCAATTGTAAACAAATATAACAGGTGAGCGACACAGGCTCCTTGGAGCCTCTAGTTTACCTTGGAGTTTGGTATTTTGGCCAATACATTTTCCCCATTAGCAGATAATAAAAACTGGTTCATTTGAGAATTAGGATACAGAGTACAAGCTTGTATTAGTTAAAAATAAATTTCAATAGCATTTTCAGACTAAGTATAACAACAAAATTATATTGAAGACTTTTAGTAACATTTCTATTCTTCTTCTGTACCGTCATCTACATTTTCTTTTATAGTTTTGCAATTGTTGTCGATACTTATAATGTTTTGTATCCCTAAAAAATGCATGAATACAATGGATTTATTTATTTTCGTGGATTGAGGGAAAAGCGTATTTTCGTCTATATTTGATTTTGTGGTTTTGCCAAAATCAGTGTTCAAGCCTTTTGAAAAATTTGTACTTCGTTGATCATCTTTATTCGTGGTTCACCTTCCGGGGGCGGATCCAGGATTTTAAGTTAGGGGGGCGCAAACTTAAATTTTCGACGAGCGGAGCGAGGCGAAAATTTTTTTTTGAGGTAAAATTATCGAAATATTCTTTATCAAGCTGATGACAACCCATGCTTTGCAAATTTTTTTTTTTGGGGGGGGGGGGGGGGGGGGGCACGCCCGCCACGCCCCCGCCTGAATCCGCCCCTGCCTTCACCCACGAAAATTAGTATCCCACGAATAATGATGAATCCACAGTATACATTTTACAAATATTTCAACAATAACATTTTCTATATCTTTTATTTTTTTTTATTCGCAGAGAAAATGTAGAAATATAGGAGCATATCTTGTTAAGATCACAGATTCAAGTGAAAATTCATGGATTAAGAATATGATCACTAGTAAAAGTATGGAATTTTTATAATTACTTTAGGGGGTCATTTTTTGTAAAAGTTTTAAAAAAAATGGGACAAATAATAAATTACAACAGGTTTGGTATTGATTGGCTTGCAACATCAATTCAAACTTCATTCTATTTCTAAGTCGAATTTTCACATCATGTCGAGCATTATTCAATTTGTCAGCGAGTCTATCGAATTAATACATACATAAGTTCCTTCAAAGTAACCTTTATGACTATTATATTATAATAGCATAGTGTTCATAAACACGTTAACTATCTGAGCTCATGGTTATACTTTTCACCCCTCGCTTGAAAAGTAAGTTTGAGTGGGTTCATATCGTCAGATGTCCTGTCAAGTTTGATTGTACATGGCTCGAAAGAACATCTGTCAATTTTTAAAACTATGGTCAATGAAGACTTTAATGGGATAACCGATGGGCGAGAGTATCTATTAGGTATATAAGATAAGAAGATGTGGTATGATTGCCAGTGAGACAAATCTCTACCAGAGGCTAGACCAAATGACGTAGAAGGTTAACAACTATATAATAGGCCACTGTACGGCCTTCGACAACGAGCATACCGCATCGCAAGCTATAAAGGCCACAAATGACAAATGTAAAACAATTCAAACAAGAAAACTAACTGCCTGATTTATGTACAACACAATAAACGAAAAACAAATATGATATATATAGCAACAAACAAAAACATATAACTACAGGCTGGGTGGGGGTTAAACATGTTTTCGTTCGCGCCATCTCTCTCCCTAACTAGGGACAGTGGTGTAACAGCATAACATACTATCAAGCTATAACAATTAGTTGAAAAGGGCTTAACTCATCAGATCGATACAAAGCACAAAAACAACTAACAAAAACACAAAAGAAAAAAAAATACAGATCTGAGAGTACTCCCAGTTATTGAAATCTAGTGGAAAGCCAATAACAACTAAAAAGAAAATATTGTATCTTACACTAAAATATCAATCAGTACACATCCAACTTCAATGGATTAAGTGTAAAAACGTCATTAACAGTCAGAGAAAAACATGACCTCGTGCAATGCCAAAGTATAGGTATCGACAGATTGTAGGACCGTCAATGTACATATGTGTATAATTTATTGATAACACAATCAATATTCATACCGGTAAAACAATATTCAATGATCTAATAACAGTGTTACCTTGGTAACCTTTTAAAAGCATCGATAAGTTTACCCGGATCACATCTAAATTTACGGACTCGGTAAAACAACATCACCGTAAAAATTAGGATGTGCTATACCGTTTGTAATAAGTTTTCTAAAGGTACATGTACAGCCAAACTTCCAAACTAATTCTTTGTATGTATAAATGAATTTAGTAAAGGTTTTAAGTAATTTGTGGTAACGAAATCCTTGACTTAATAATTTACCAGTCAGTAATACATAGATTATGTATGTTGGGTTTTGTCTGAGAGGTTTTTATTCAAATAATAAAAACTCTCAATGGCAATTTTGACGTATCGTAAATCATCTTTTGTTCATTTTTGTTTATTAAAATAGAAGTTGTTGAACAAAGTTACTGGATGGGAGCAGCAGATTATTTGAAAGAAGGAGACTGGAGATGGGTCAGTGATCTGTCTAAAGTACAATACTCTGGGTGGAAATCCGGCGAACCCAACAATTCAGGCAGTAATGAAGATTGCGCGCACTTTTATCAGCCACATGGCTTTAACTGGAATGATGCAGGTTGTAGTGGAACGAATGGGTATATCTGCGAGAATCAACATGTATGTATGATACACTTCCTCCTTTCCTAGTCAACATGTATGTATGATACACTTCCTCCTTTCCTAGTCAACATGTATGTATGATACGATCCTCCTTTCCTAGTCAACATGTATGTATGATACACTTCCTCCTTTCCTAGTTTGCGTAGACAAGAATAAATATCCATAACGCATTGATTTTACACTCCAACTGATTAATTTATCGAGTGCATAGATTTAAGTCAAGGTTAAAAATCATATGATATATGTTTAAACTCTTTGATTGATAAGACCTAACTTGGTTAGTAACTATTTCGTCACAATTCATTCACGTATGTTAAATACTAGATGTATAGGGCATCGAGTATTTGTATAGAAAAATTCCGATTGGCATCCAACCTTAGAGAGGGGTAAGGAAATACTTACTTTAACTTTATGGAAGGTATCATTTTGTACGAAAGTACTCAATTACTTTAATTATTTTCCTGTGCAAAACTGAAGAAATAAAACATTGGTCCAAAGAGTACCAACACACGGTTTTTTGTGCAATTACGTGTAATTCATTTGATTCAATAACATGACCTAAAACAATTTCAGATGTGTGCAGTCTGGGAGCTTTGTTGACATTCTTTCACATCTTCATCATCCTCTAGGGTTACATTACAATAGAACTATTCTTTTTTCACTGCCTGTTAATTTTCTAACATGTTTGAGAGATTGTGCACTTAACAAGGGATGCATAAATACATTTTTTTCTAATAAACAGATTGGTCAGTATAATTTGTAGTGTAGCTCTTTTCCGTTTTTTTTAACCAGTAACATTGGAACCATTACATAATGAAAATAAGAATTTCCTTCCAGTTCAGTTTTCTAATAAAGGAAACGATGCTATCAACATCAATAACGTTCTTCACCACAAAGAGGTAACATCTAAAATTCCCCTTTATTTTCTAAATCAGTCAGTTCTTATGGAACCTACAGTTACACCAAAACCATTGCACCTAAAGTATCAAACTATAAGCAAGCATTGCAAGACCTTGATTTAGAAGAATACCTAAATAACCCTCTGACATGTGACTGTTCCCACTCGCCTTATATTTACAGCCCCTCTGGCCATGTAATTACTGGGTATCTAAACATAATTCAACATGAACATCTCCGAAAGGTGATATCTCATGGTTCAGAGAACCCCAACACATCAATTGGAACCATAACTTCAAAATAATTATGGATTCCGTTGAGGACTACGTCAGAGCATAGGCATAACGAGAAGAAGTTCAAATGGACACTTTGTCAGAATGGGTTAAAGCAATCAGGTCTCTGATAAAACGTCGAATCCAAAATTTGAAAAAAAACTGAGTGAATGATCGACCAAAGCCCGTATTCAGAGACAAAGAAGCTGTGAATGTCTATCATCTCTTCACGATAAATATGTTGTTGTTCCTGCGGACAAAGCTTCAAATAATGTTGTTTGTATGTTAATCATACTACTACGAGTGTCTTGTAAAATTGTAAAAAAAATAGGAATAAATGAGCACTCAGTTAATCCCACATACAAAAACATATCATTTGACAAGGATGAGATTTTGGCGAATCATAACTCCATCATGGCTTCAATGAACATTACATTGAACAGCAAATCTGAGGACTTACCTTGTTTGTATTGGATACCTAAGCTTCCGTACAAACAACGGTATATTGCCGGCTCATCTGCATGTTCTCCAAAGGAATTGTCCATCTGCATGTTCTACAAAGGAATTGTCCATTAGATTGACAAACATTCTGTCCTCAGTGAAAGAAGGTCTTAAGAAATACTTTGAAACTGTTTACTCGTGTAGTGGTATTAACCATATGTGGATTCTAAAAAAACACTAAAGAACTTCGTGATAATTTTAAATCTCGATCTTTCTCTGAAATTAATTCTATCAAATTTTTTGATTTTTCAACACTTTATACCACCATTCCCCATATGAAATTAAAAAATCGTCTAAAAATAAAAATAATCCACAATGCTTTTCAATATGAAAATGGTAGCATATGCTATATATTTATTGCTTTGGGATACCATACGGCATATTTTGTTAATAGTTGGCAAAAAGGTAAAACACGCTACACCGAAGAATAAGTGATCAGTATAATGGATTTTCTTATTGACAACATATTTGTTGAATTTGGTGGTAGACTTTTTCAACAAATTGTCGGCATTCGTATGGGAACCAACTGTGCGCCTCTCTTATTTTCATATGAGTTGGAGTTCCTTCAGACACTTGTCAATACAAGAAGATCAAAGAAGCCAAATCATTTAATTTCACATTCAGATATATTGATGATGTTCTTTCCATTAAAAATCCAAACATTTCTGATTCGGTTCCATTAATATATTCTCCAGAACTAGAAATTAAAGAAACAACAGACACGACTTCCTCCGCCTCATTTTTAGACTTATACCTCGAATTTGACATAAGCGGTCATCTTAGTACCAGAATCTATGACAAACGAGACGATTTTAATTTTGAAATTATAAATTTCTCCCACCTTAGCAGCAATATACCAACTTCACCTGCATATGGGATATACACTTTCCAACTCATTTGGTATCCGAGAGCTTGCAGCTGCTACTCAGACTTTATAAAACGTCACGATAGTCTGTGCAGAAAGTTAATGAGCCAGGGTTATGTACGTCTCGTCCTTTTTCTACAAAAGTTCATCGGAAGATACCAACCCTTGTTGATAAATATTCCGTATCAACTTCACAAATAATACATGATGGTCTTGAAGTATAGATTCTAGGTAATGACGTTGTTTATCATCTTAATTACGTGTTATACTAGTAGTCTTCTTTTTACTTGTCTTTGTATATTTTGAACCTTTACTGTTTAGTCCATTTTTGGTATTTATACATCCCGCCATTGTGTTATTGTGCTATGGTCATTTTTTGCATTCTTGTCTTTCATTTTTTTTCTTTGTTGACATGATTGTTTGTTTTTATAGTGATTAAGATTATTACACAATGTTGACTGCTGTACCCCAAATTTTACCTATTATGTCTGTTTGTTTTGCTCACACATGGTTGTCAATATAATGGAATTCTATGCGACTGTCATACAAATGATTGGTTTAGCTAGCTATAAAACCAGGTTTAATCCACCATTTTCTACATAAGGAAATGCCTGTACCAAGTCAGGAATATGACAGTTGTTTTTCATTCGTTCGATGTGTTTGAGCTTTTGATTTTGCCATTTGATAAGGGACTTTCCGTTTTGAATTTTCCTTGGAGTTTGGTATTTTACTAAAAATGATATCTTAAATAAAACCACAGACATATAAACAAATAAACGATAACATACCAACCACCTTAAAAACGAGACAAAACGAATAGAATAAAATAAAAAAAGTTCATTCAGCCTAGACTGTTCATTCGATCTTAGCTTGGTAGTGATTAATTTGCAAGATTAAAATTGTTCGGATTTTTTTGTAGCGTAATAATACTTGTTCTCTAAATTTTCTATTTTATTTTACAGGGATCTAAGTGCCTCCCTTATGCCAAAGTGTAAAGTGAACACTCGATAGAAAATATAAAATGTTTCCTGATGTCCGCAAGATGATTATCTAAATAAAGATATTCTTTCAAAATATCTATCTGTTCATTGTTATAGTATTCGATTCAGTCTTCTGAAATGTTTTGATTTACAGAAGTTGTTTATCTATATAGATTTTCTTACCGAAATGCCTATACCGTTTATGGTAGTCATATGAGCAAAACCCATTCCGTAAAGTAAGCTATGTAAAACACACGGGCACGACAAAATAATACAATTCAAAGAAAAGCGAACGGTCTGATTTATGATAAAGACAAATTACAGGCTCCTGACTTAATTAAGACAAGCACGTAAAAAATCAAGGTGGCGATGTCGGACACGCTTGTGAGCGCTCAATCCCGTCCTCTGACATGAGACAGTGGTGCTATACCTTCTCGTTACGGGTATTCCGACTTTATCTGTTCCGAGCAAGGTGTTGGTATTGAACTGGGCATTTATTGTCCACTGTAGAACATAGTAAAATTGTTATTTTCTTTTATAAATTTACGTTAGCTATACCTCTTCCCTGACCTCCATTTTGTGAAAGGAAACATACATTAGCTATGTCCGGCTGTTCGTTGTTCTTTCGTTCGTCCATCCACAATTTTATTTGTAGCTTGTTTTTAGTTATATTTCACTTTTTTCTTTGAATAAGTTTTAGGATTTTCCAATTGCAAAAATGGACCTTTTCACGTCAACAAAAGGAGCTTAAACTGATAACATATAACGGGTATACTTAAGATTGTTTCATTATAGTTATTCTGGAGAAAAGAAATGTTCATGCATTACTTCTGCAAAGTTTGATTAAAATGGACCAATTCGGTTTCAGAAAAGAAGATGAATGCCCATTTCGAAAAGTTTGAATGATAACTGTATAGAATGCATTTGCCAATAGTTGTATATAGTGGGTCATGTTATCATCAATCTCTTATAATTAAGAAATATTTCGCCTGGTTACACAATATTGAATTCTAATGTTATAATTATTTCTACTATAACTACAAACTAGAGTAAAACATGCACATATATTCATATGCTTTCATTCACATTCGTTCTTTTTTACTTCTATTTTTAACACAAACTGTAATGTATCTCTTTACTACCGAAAACTATCATTTCCTTCATACTCTCTTATGTACTCTCCTTCACACTCTCTTATGTACTCTCCTTCACACACTCTTATGTACTCTCCTTCACACTCTTATGTACTCTCCTTCACACTCTCTTATGTACTCTCCTTCACACTCATATGTACTTTCCTTCACACACTCTTATGTACTCTCCTTCACACTCTATGATGTACTCTCCTTCACACTCTCTTATGTACTATACTTCACACACTCTTATGTACTCTCCTTCACACTCTCTTATGTACTCTCCTTCATACTCTCTTATGTACTCTCCTTCATACTCTCTTATGTACTCTCCTTCACACTCTGTTATGTACTCTCCTTCACACTCTCTTATGTACTCTCCTCTTGGAGGTACCGCTGCAGCTCTCGATAGAAACAGGTCTCTTAGTAGACATCGAGCGGTATCTATACACCACACACATGCGTATCTTTAACAAACACTGTATGCGATTATTCCGAAACTTAACTCTAACAAAATTCCCCAACCTATCTTATGTCCTCTCCTTCACACTCTCTTATGTCCTCTCCTTCACACACTCTTATGTACTCTCCTTCACTCTCTTATGCACTCTCCTTCACATTCTCGTATGTACTCTCCTTCACACTCTCTTATGTACTCTCCTCTTGGAGGTACCGCTGCAGCTCTCTATAGAAACAGGTCTCTTAGTAGACACCGAGCGGTATCTATACACCACACACATGCATATCTTTAACAAACACTGTATGCGATTATTCCGAAACCTTACTCTAACAAAATTCCCCAAATCCCCCAACCTATCACTTGAAATTCCTATTTCAAAATGTTTCTACAACAATCACTTTATTCTTTAAACTTTCAAAGGCTTTACTTCATTCTTCTGTTCAATTCCATATAACATTTACTTTATATTGTAAGTTCATCTAGACTTTAATTTGCCTGAGGGAGTTGAAACCTTAGTTTCTTTGTAATTTAAAAATTTATAAACGGACAGTTTTAGAAAGGTTTGTTATATATATATATGTATTGTATACGTGTCAACTTCCACTCTGTGTTTTTGTTAGATGTATTTCTATTTGTATCCATCTGATGAGTTCAGCCTTTTTCAACTGATTTTTATAGTTTTTTTCTTATGTTGTACTGTTACACCACTGTCCCAGGTTAGGGGAAGGGTTGGCGCTTTCAAACGAGTTTAACCCCGCCACAGTCGGTATGTGCCTGTCCCAAGTCAGGAGCCTGTAAATCAGTGGTTTGTCGTTTGTTGCTGTGTAACATAATTGTTTTTCGTTCATTATTTTGTACATAAATTAGGCCGTTAGTTTTCTCGTTTGAATTGTTTTACATTTGTCATTTCGGGGCCTTTTATAGCTGACTATGCAGTATGGGCTTTGCTCATTGTTGAAGGCCGTACGGTGACCTATAGTTGTTAATTTCTCTGTCATTTGGTCTCTTGTGGAGAGTTGTCTCATTGGCAATCATACTACATCTTATTTTTATATAACTAAACATAAGAATGATCAAAGTTATTTCACATTTTGCAGAGGCACCATCTTAGGAACAGCTTCAACTTTTGGTGTATCAGTTTGCATACCGCTTTTTGGAACTTTGTGTCCTAAATATATTATTACTGCATGACGAACTAATGCACATTTATTCGGTTTTAGTTTCAATCTAGCAGTTTTAAGTCTGTCCATAATTTTACAAAGGTTTGAAAGATAGTCATCAAATGATTTTCGATAAATAATATTATCATCAAGATATAACACTGCAATATGCCACTGAAGTCCGCTAACTGCTGCTTCAATTATTCTGTGGAGCAGTGATGCCACATTACATAGTACAAATGGCAATGATGTATAAAGATATATTTCTCCAACAGTTTCTTTGTCACTAGGTTTATTGGTTATTGATGATGAGCCATATCCAAGACCATTTTTGAGAAACACTGAAATCCACACATAGCATCCAAGTTATATTCAATCCTCGGTATTTGATGTACATCTTGTACGGTATTTTCATTTAATTATCCTGTTATCCGTCATGATATATAAAATCAAGGACATGTGGTATGATTGCCAATGAGACAACTATCCACCAAAGTTCAAATGAAGTGGATGTAAGCAATTATAGGCAACCGTATGGCCTTCAACAATGAGAAAAACACATACCGTATAGTCTGCTATAAAAACCCAACATGAAAAATATGAAACAAAATAATTTACGAAAAACAAATAGGATAGACATGAACCAACGACAACCACTGAAAAACAGGCTCTTGACTTGGGACAGGCACATTAAGAATTTGGTGGAGTTAAACATGTTTGAAGGCGCCAACCCTTCCCTAACCTGGGAGAGCAGTGTAACTGTACAACATAAGAACAAGCTATAGAAATCAATCATGATATATATGTCTTTTTTTTGTATTTAGACATTGGGAGCGGACTATGGACTACATGTTTTTTCTTTTCTACTTTTCTACTGTAAATGCTTAATTTCATTTTCCAAAATGTGCTTTTTGAACAATGGTACTCTTCTCGAGGATTCTTTTATTGACGTTTCATCATTTAATTTTATAGAATACATCCCCGGAGTGTTTTCCACGTACATATATGTACGTTTCGGCGATAAAGTGTATCGACAAGTAGTAGGTATTCCTATGGGCACTAACTGCAGATATATTCCTGTATTGCTATGAATCTCAGTTTATGACCAAACTCAGTAAAGACACGTCATTGTTACATTTGGTTGATACATTCGACAATACCTTCCGTTATCTACATGATATTTTTTCGTTAAATAATCCAGAGTTCTCTAAATATACTACCGAAATTTACCCAAAAGAACTTACTTTATCTAAATCTAACATAAACAGCAGTAGTTGTCCTTTTCTAGATTTGGACATTTCAATCTCTAAAGGAAAAATCCATACTAAAATTTATTGTTAATTTTCCTTTTTTAGACGGCGATGTTCCTTTGGCTCCATCATACGGTGTTTATATATCCCAACTCGTTCGTTATGCCCGTGTGTGTAGTGATGTCATAGATTTTAACGAACGTAATCAATGCATTACTGGTAAATGATTAAGTCAGGGATTTCGTTACCATAAATTACGTAAAACTTTTACTAAATTCTTTCATAGATACAAAGATTTGATTAGTAAATTTTGCTGTACCTGTAGAAAACTGATTAAAAACGGTATTTCACACATCCTAAATTTTACGGTAATATTGTACTTAAAGCGCGGAAATCACTATGTGATCCGTGTAAACTCATAGAACCTTTAAACAAACTTATTAGTAAAGGTTATCTTACCAATGTTGTAATTAGATCTTTGAATATAGTTTACATTGGCACTAATATCGATTTTGTCATCAGCAAATTAAAACATAACTAAATTTGTATTCTTTTCAAACGGGATGTATAAAGACACACCCACGTTCATTTTGATCTATAAAGAGGTTAACTCCTAACTATCCTACTGCCTGTCGATACGTTTATTTTTGGCATTGCACAAGTCATGTCTTCTTTGACTGTACATGACGTTAAAATACTAAATCCCTGGGATGTGTTTTAGTTGATTTTAGTCTCTGATGCATGATTTTTTATTATCAATTGTTTTAACTAGCTGTCAGTAACTGCGAGTACTCTCAAATTGCACTTTCTTGTTTATTTGATCTGTTGATACTAATTGTTATGCTTTTTTGTTATTTAATGTTATTCAGGGTTATATCTGGTCTATATACCGGCTTTGATAAGTGTTTGGTATTACTATAAATTTTCACTTCTTCGTACTATGAACATCAAAATTATTTATTTTGTAAAAATATTTCCTTTCTCTATTTGAACTGTACACGTATACCTAACAACAAAATTATTTTTATTTACCTGTGTTTAAAGTAATTGCAAATGGCTGATATTTTTGTTCAAGTATATTGTTTTTCTTAAA